CAGCCAGACAGGAAGGAAAAACAAAACTTCTCCAGGAAAGGGCCTGTTGTGCAACCCCATTTTCTGTGGTCTCTTTAAAGGAACAGAGATGGGGCAATAAGGAGGCCTTGAAACCAGCACATGCTCTGGAAATGTCTCAAATGAGCCTCACAAAGTTAGAAGGTTCATTTAAATTGCAATCCCTACTTGGTTTTGGGATAGTTATTTGCTGTTTCATACAACAGGCTTCTCAAACTACCTGGAGATCAGGTGCTGGAAAGTGTGTTCATGGTTTGCTCCAGTCATTTTCAAGTTGGGGGTCTTTTGTGGGCTGATGTATCCTACTTCTAATGACAGTGAAATTATTAGCAGAAGAGGGTTTTTTGCAGTACTTCCTTTCCTGTTGGGAATGTAGAAACACAGAGGCAGATTGTACAAATATGAAAATACTAGGTTTTGTCAATATTAACCTCCTGGTTCAGTTGTTTTAATATTTTCTAGGCTAGAGGGTGAGAAGGATCAGGTAAAATAGGTTTTCTTCTGTACTTTGGCATTAGCTCTTTGTTGCACAATTTCCCCTCTCTCTGCTGCCTTTAACTGTCAGCTGAAATGGGGGGAAGGTAAATCATGACATGATAGCAGAATATTTTTTTTAAATCTTCTGGACAGCCTCTGTAGTTGTTGTCCTGGCAGGTCTGTTCCCTTTTTTCTCAGATCTCCTAACCAAAATTCAAGTTAGCATGGGGTGGGAAATGGCAGACAGAAATAGCTCTCAGTAAGTGCACAGGCATCGCGGTAGGCGGTAAGGGGAGTCAGAAGGGTGCCCTCAGAGCAGGTCAGGTATCGCTGCAGGAAGGGCCTTAGGCAGACCTAGAGAGTGGATGGGCTCCCTGGGGCGTGCAGCAGTGGTGGTGCTGATCATAGAGCGCACTATACACAGTTTTATCGTGCTGTCCAACTCAAATGCCCAGCTAAAATTCATATTCTGAATTACACTGACAACCGCTTGCAGTGTAGTAATTTCAGATGTTTTCAGTTTGCCTAAAAATTTGCTTGTGGAAGAGTACAGCTTGGGGCTTCCAGGTTTACGGTGCATCTTTTAAGCTTCTGTTTCCCCAAGGGGATGAGAAAGTTACCCTAGTGCACATGCCACAGAGCAGAGAGGATAACTCAAGAGAGCAAGTGAGCTGCTAAAACACTGTGACTTATTAAGGACTTAGGCAGCTACCTCAAACCACTTTCTCCTGAAACAACTCCCTGTCACTCCTTTCCTGTTAGTTACCCCCCCTACCTTTCCCCTCACTTTCTCCTGTACTGGCTTCCCATAAAATCTGAATTATGGTCTTCTGTTACTTAACCCAAATTATTGGGGTTTGAAATCAATTAGTTTTCAATTTAAAATATAAGATTTAGCTTTCCAAAATCCATGTGGTGCATTGTTGCACAGGGATGAGAGAAGAAAATATTTGTATTTGCTGAATTAATATGCCTTACTTGTCATGTCATGTACCAATATTTGGCAAAATAGCATCACTGATGCATTAATATTTGTACACAGATACCTGGTCCTCCTCCCTCTTCTTCTTCCCATGTAGGGTCTTAAGCAATTTGTTAAAACAGGTGGTCAGCTGATGAAAACCTCCAGTGTAAAGCAAAGCACAAATGATAGAAGGCATGGAAAAAAACTCATCAAGGAATATCCTAGCTCATCACTGGGGGCTAGGGATTGAATGTTGTAGTGACAGTGTTTGGGAAAGTTGATTGTGATTGTAAACCCTTAGCTTCATAGTTCCTTAATTATAAATGTGTAGTGAACAGAATACACCTGCAGCAACATGAAGTCATTGTCCAGGAAGTATACTTTTTCTTAATGCAAAAAGCCAGCATCTGCAAAGAGGTGGGTAGTTGTCCTGCCTCTGTTGAAGTTAATGAAGCTGTGAATACTTACACAGGTTGAGGGTTTGCCCACTGTGCTCTCTGCTGTCTTTCCCTTGTGCTAAAGATGTGAACACAGCGCATCTCTTCGGTCCCTTTGGAAACTGTGTGAATGGTGTGCGACAGAAGAGAAATGGTTGACTTCTTTCAAATATTGTTGCTCCCTGCTCTGCCATGTGTATTTGGAGGGTTCTTTCTGGCAAAGTGGTGCACACATCTTACAAAAGGAGTCAAAGGAAATCAGTGTTCATATTACAGGCTGCAATCTAGCAGAGGATGAGCAGGAAGGGAAGCAGTCACCGTGAGCTCCCTGCCTCCCTTGGAGAAGAAATTGTGGGCAGCCAGGTGCAGGGAGGACATCAGTGCAAGCACAGCCCCAGACCTTCAAGTGTACCTTGGAGCCTAACTTCCTGTTTTTCTAAGCGGGATGTTTCCGAAGGATGTTGGAGAGACCAAGACTGTGGTTCTTACTTGCCTCCAACACAACAGCAGCACTCTAGTTCTTCATTTTGCACTTTCCTTTTGTGTGTGTGTGCACAAAAGGTTTAATCATGTTTTCCATTCTTTCTAAAGCATTTTGAGAGCCTCAGGGGAAAAGTGCTAGGCAGGAGCAGTGCCATTACAGATAAGCTTCCAGATTATACACAGCTGGAGATGACAAAAGTAGCACACAACTGGGACCACAGCAAGAACTGGGGTGAGGAATGGTCAGGGAAGGACATGGAAGTCCCTGTGGTTTACTGGCTGAGTAGGAAGAGAGGTTGAGAGCGCTGATCACCCGTAGTAATTAACTCCCAAGAAGTGCACAAGGATCGTTACAGATCTTGCAAGGTCTAACAAACAAGATGTAATTATTAAGTAGGATGATTCACTCTTAAAAATTATTATTAATCATGCTATGAACTGTGATGAGGATGAGCAGATATAAAATATTAATTGCTATGTGATCGTTAATTAATATATCCTCAGGTTATGATAGTCCTAATTAAAAAAAATTATATTCATTTCAGCAAGATTAATTCCAGGATAAGATACTACTGAGTATGAGCAAAGGTATTCAAATTCTGCCTGCCAAAAGCATGTTAGTTCTGGTCCTGGATGAATTTTATCAGTGGAAGCTGATGGTATTCATCTGAGGGAGCTTACCATAAAAATACTTTTATAGGTGACCTGGTTTTGTAGCTTGCTGATAGTCTGATGATGCTGAAGGGAACAGAAGTGTTTCTGTTGTCTATAATATGAGGGACTGGGGCCTTGAGATGGCTGGTTCAAAATGAATGAACATCAATTTATATATTGCTGTACTCCAGAAACATCTTATCTCAACATTTCTTTTTACCTGTAAAGCTCTCCTTACCAAATTTGTAGGAATGACTGTTTTTTTTCTAGTATAGTTGATATCAAGAACCTCAGTAAGGAAGCACTGGTCCATATAATGGAGGCTCGGGAGCCTGCCTTGGCTACAGGCAGTGTTCTGTAGTGTGACATGTACAGTCATCCTTCTCTTCCCTGTCCAAGCAGTAGCACTGCTTTCAAACCTGAACTGAATAGTG